GGAACTCATAAAGGCGCTACAAGCAATCGAATCCAGAGTGAAGAATTCGCTGAAAAAATTGGCAGACTCGATGTCGTACCGATTACGTTCTGTAGTCGAAGCGCAGGGCGATTATACTCTGTTTTGACATCAGGGCTCTGTATGTACTTCCTGTTGATATAGAAGGTTTTCCTAAATCTCTCGTTGAATAAGAGATAACCCTGGAACGTTAATTTTGACGCATACTGTATAAATTAGATTTGAAATAGAAATTACAGTTTTAGTGATTTGCAGGACTTTTGGGTCATCCTATGTAGCTGTTCAATGTCGTCCAGTGACTTTCGACTCACCCTGTATTTATTTATATTCTCGCTTCCGGGAATTTCGAGTCAAACCGATTCACTACACTCTGATGCACGCTTGTTGACGCCGGGCAAAAAATGTGAGTTGCTCTTACAGAGTCTATTTCCTTGCAATCGTTCTTTCCTAACTTGCAAGGTATATGGGTTTATAGCTTTATCGACCCCTTCTCGCCTGTACCCAACGATGAGCTCAACGTTCAGGAAGGGTTTTCTCATGTTCCACCAAGGCGAGTCATGAAGAGCCCAAATTCCAAGGAAGAAAGCTTCCCTGCAGGGAGCCTCTTCATAAAACCGAATCTGGGCAAGCCCGGTCCTGGAGTGGGCCTCCTTTTAGTTAGGAGAACCCTCGTTTTTTCTCCTATTTGAAGAAAGGGACATCTCCTTCCGGTTCTCGGCCATCACAGATCTCATTTATTCGGTTCGATCTGGTTGACACAGGCAAACAGCGCCCACGAAATGATGATGGGAGGTTGTAGGGCTGTAGGTGGTTGGATCCATCCGCCATGGAGGATGGCGCAGAACTGACAGCTCTGGTTGCTGAGACGGCATCGTACCCAAGACCTTTGTCGTACGCGCATGGGCTTTGTCGTCCAGGTCCAGGGTTCGTGGATGCTCATGCCTTCCTTTTGCCGTGGCCGAATTTCATGGCGGAAATTCGCAGTAAAATTTCCTTTTTTGCGCTCATTCGCCACAAAATGCACTCTGCCTGTATCTTCTCCATATCGACCATCTTTCCAGTTTTCGCAGAGACGAGGCTAATCTTTTCTTCGTCATCAGACAACCAAAGCGTGGACAGACACTGGGACAGGAAGGAATCAGATGTATCTTTCTTTCATGGAAAGGAGGTCCGCGCGACCCGAGCCGGTCGATCCCAACGTAGATGCGGTCGTTTTTCTTGTCGTTAGCCCTAGTGTCTCCACAGGTTTCCTAATCGTCCTCTCTATTTTTCCTCTCTATTTTTCCTCTCTATTTTTCCTCTCTATTTTTCCTCTCTATTTTTCCTCTCTATTTTTCCTCTTTTTTTTTTTCTTTGCGCTGCAGATCCAAGGTTTCGTCGAGTTTCTCGCTGGGCTTCTCATCCATGAATTCCGAGGTTTTGCTTCCCGAAGTGCGATTCCGTTTTTTGCATTTTCTACGGTTTTTACTCTTTCTGGCGGTTTGGTTTCTCAATTTGATTCACGAGGCGACTGGCTCCTCTCGGATTCCCGATTTTTTTCTCCCTTTTTCGAAAATCCAAACCGGACATTCGCCAATTTTTTCATCCAGTGCTTGCAAATTTTCGTTCGCCGAGTTCAACTGCATTTTCAAGTCTCATCGACTTTGTTGCCAAGGTCAAGAAGGACCTTTCGAAGTTCAGAAAGCCTCACCACTGACTCTTCATAACGAAGCTTCCCGGAAATTTCCTGTTGGCAGGCCTCGACCGCACCCTCCTCTGCGACGAAAAAAACCGCTCACCTTGGATTCATTCGCGAAGGCATGCACACAACGCGCGTACGCATGCCACGAGAGAGGCCTTGACCTTGAACCCCCCCCCCACCCCCCTGCTGTCCGCAATATGAAGGTCTATGGCGGAACGAACGATAGTTAAGAAGGATCTCGTCCCCTCCGGCGAACACGGCCGCAGTCAGCGCCGGCATTTAAAAAAAATCGGAAGGACGCAATCACGTGCATCTTCGCGAGACTCGGTTCTTTCCTGCTCGAGTCTGGTGCCAGCCGCCCGACGTTTCGCTTCGTCCACTTCCCGTGTAATGGCTTCCACTGCCGGACAGGTGAGACTTCTCTCTCCCGATCGATCTTGATAGTTTTTCCATGAATGAACCGCAAACGTCACCGTTGAAACGTCCGGCGACGAATTCGGAATAACTGCCGCGATGATGGTCATCGGAAACAGTTTATTGGTAATAGAAGGGGTCACGGTTGATGTCATGCGGTTATAATAACGTTAATGATACATGTTCCTGTATTAAATATTTAAGTTTTTTAGCTCCCATCCCCGTTAGTCCCCGCTGGAAAAACGGCTGACGTAGCTGCCTGTTTTTCGCATCCTCTTTCCTCATTTCCGTGGAGTCAGTCCTTGGATGCACCTGCAGGACTCGCACCCGTTCAGCCATCAGCCGGAGTCGGGGGTGTCTGCCGCCCATGGGAAAGTCGCCAGTTCCCTTCCAACTCTCGCGGGTGACGGGTCTTTCGAAGACAGTGGGGGGAAGGGCGGATGCGAGCGGCGGCGTGGACAGTGTTGCCGGCCGAAGGCGGAGGTCGCCGGATCTGGCATCCTGCACGTTTCTTTTTTTGCCGAGTCCCCATCTCCGCGCAGTCTGAGGAAGGTCGTGATCGCGAGAGGGTCTGTCCCGTTTGCCTGTCCCGTTTGCCTGTCCCGTTTGCCTGTCCGGTTTTCTCCGTGCAGCGTTCAGGTTTCCTCGTCGAGATGGGAAGAGAGGCTTCGCAACGAGGAATCTGGGTCACCCTGACCGAACAGAGTGAATCCGGACGCCTGGGATGAAAAATATTGCGCCTGGCATTTACCAGTTTCATTTAATGTCACCTGGGCAACAGTACACTTTTTGAAATTTCGTGCACAAAACCCCAAAAATACAAATTTAGTGATGAGCGAGCCTTCTCCGCTTGGTCTATGGAGGCCCGGTTGGGCAAAATAAAATCCATAATGCCCTCGAACGATTCGTCTCAGTCGATTTCGCGACCGCCTCGTCCGCCATAGAAGGGCGATCGGCGCGGGAGAAAGCAAATGCTTCGCCCACTGATATCATCCGTTCTTTTTGGGGAACTCTTTTTTTTCACCGATTGCACGTTCGTGTTATGAGAAATGTATTGCATTCCCGGGAGAAGTTAGTCCTCTCTCTTCGTCTCCCATAAGCAAATGGATCACGATCGTTGAAGGAAAAATTGTTCATGACTTCATGAAGAATCACATCGCAGTCGAATCATGCCCAAAATATGATTGACACTCGCCGTAATAAGAGCATTAAAAAACTATGCCGAAATTTTTTTTCCCCGAAATTTGCATTTTCCACATTGCAAAAATGGTGTTGTCAATTTCCAGGTGATCGAGTGCCTCGCCGCAGTCGCATGGGAGGCGAACCAGCCCCTCCGCATCGAGACGGTCACGGTCGCGCCTCCCAAGGCCCACGAGGTCAGTTCGCTCTCGTTCGCAGCGGTCTCGCCCGCGAAGGCGCGACGTCACGCCTTTCATTTTCTAAAATGATTCGGGTGCTTGAATAGCGCGTTTTCCCGGTTTCGTCGCACTGCGTATTGCTTCATCGATTGAGATGAAATTCGTCAAGCGAATGGAAATGAGAAATTAACTAATTAATGAGAATTGATTTCGGCAAAATATGCTTCAGAACGAAATTTTTATTCGTACTGCCAAAGTTTTTTTTTTCGAATCGATTGGCGTCCTCTCCATTCCCTTCGGCTCTGAACAGGCTTTAAAATGTTCGTGAAAGGTCCGGGTGAAAATCCACTCGACGGGCGTGTGCCACACGGACGCGTCGACCTTGTGGGGCCGCGACCCCGAGGGACCCGGGGGACTGTTCCCGACGATCTTGGGTCACGAGGGCGCTGGCGTCGTCGAGAGCGTCGGAGACGGCGTCACCAACGTCAAACCGGGTGAGGCGACCAAGGGGAAAAACAAGTCTAAAATGCGCGTTGCAAAGCTAAAAATATTCAAGATTGCAAAAAAAAATTGTTTAGCGAAGAACAGCTTCAAAAACCATCCATAATGAGATATATGAATATGAAACTCTTCAAAATTAAATCAAGAAATAACCAAATCAGCGACCATTCCAAAATGATTATGAAATCTGAAAATGAAGACGAAATGATATGAAATAGGAGACCACGTGATTCCACTATGGCTCCCTCAATGCGGCCGCTGCCGCGCCTGCGGGAAGACGAACTTGTGCGAGAACGTCTGGAAGATGATGGGGAAGGGGTGCCTCCTGGACGGCACGTCGCGGTTCGCCTGCGGGGGGAGGACGCTCTACCACTACATGGGGACCTCCACCTTCTCGGGGTACACAGTGCTTCCTGACGTCTCCGTCGTCAAGGTGGGGGCGGTGTTCTGTCCGGGTTTTGCGCTGGATATTGTTTCTGATGCACTTCCGGTACTCGAAGATATTGAAATTCTTTTCGAGATCATGAAGGTCTCCAGCTCAATAGTGGGAAAAAAAATGCAATTACACCGGAAATACAAGACAGCTCTGTTATGCTTGTGTCAAGGCTAGGATTCAGTGGGAAATGAGGGAAAATAGCATACTTCAATCAACTTCTGCATGTATAAGGACTCAAAGAGCTTATAGAAACTAACAGGAGTCGAGAAAAACCAATCCTTAGAAAAATGCATTTAAAGGTTTTTTCCTCTCATCCCAGATTAGCCCATCGGCTCGCCTAGATCGAGCCTGTCTTCTGGGCTGCGGGATCCCGACGGGGTACGGCTCGGCCCTCAACACGGCGAAGGTGGTCGAGGGCTCCTCGGTGGCCGTGTGGGGACTGGGCACCATCGGCCTCGCCGCCGTCATGGGGGCCAGGAAGGCCAAGGCCAAACGCATCATCGGCGTCGACATCAACCCGAACAAATTCCAAATCGGTGAGAAAACGCCTCCGCGATTGCGAGAGTGTAAGCCGACGCGAATGTAAGCCAACGAGAGTGTAAGCCATCACATTTGCATTTCGATCGCATGTAAACCAAGGGAAGAAATTCGGCTGCACGGAATTCGTGAACCCGAATGACCACGGGGACCGTCCGATCCAGGATGTCCTGGCCGATATGACCGACGGCGGACTGGACTTCACCTTCGAATGCATCGGCAATATTCACACCATGGCAAGTCTTCCCAGAAGGGTTATTTCTAAAGGCGATATTGCCCATGGCGGTTCAGTCATTTTGTTGGGGAGAACGAAATTTAACCCCATCAAGTTTTTCCCTAAAAATCGTTGGCTCGATTGCAAGGATGTGGACACAGATTATTTTAATCCTTAAAAACGAAATGAAACGCGGATGAAAGACGAAGACATGCTATCGTCAGAGGGCTGCCCTGGAGTCGCTGCAGAAGGGATGGGGAGTGTCCACGATCGTCGGAGTGGCCGGGAGAGGACTGGAGGTCTCTTTCCCCCCTTTCCAGCTCCTCTTGGGACGCAAGTGGACCGGTTCCTTCTTCGGAGGTCAGTCTCGCCGAAACATCCCGATAAGCAAAGACACTTCAGTCGGGCTCATGTTCTCTCTTTTTAAAATAAATTCTTCGTATTCGCTGGAGGGTACGCTGGAAGCCGATTTCAAAATCCATTAGGAAAAGTGTTTGACTCGCAATGTGACCGATATGCATAAACTATTTTCCAGACTATCTTTCAACTAAGGTGTCTTCTATACTATCATTCGAATCCCTCTCTTGACGGAAGTTCTGGATTGCAGATTACCGGGGAGATGACCTTCCGGGACTGGTAGAAGAATACCTGAAAGGGGAACTCATGGTGGACGAATTCGTGACGCAGGAACTCCAATTGGACGACATCAACAAGGCCTTCGATTCCCTTCGCGAAGGCAGAGGGTGAGAGCATCCCGGATTCCCAATTTCTACTTTCCATGTCGTTCTATTTCATGCGGTTTCCCTTTTCTTTGAACGGTTTCAGGCTTCGCTCGGTCGTGACATTTTGAAGGAGGCTAAAACCATATTTCGGGTTGATGACGAAAGCGAAAATGCTCATTTTTATGAATCTAGTTTATAGTCGCTATTTGTGCGCTTGTGTTCGTGTTTCTCTCCAATGTTTTTTTTTTGGTTTTTCAGTACCCTTCATTGCTCTAATATGCGAGCGTCATAATCAGCGTTGAAGTCTAGCGAAAGTGTAGCAATTCTGTATGCTAGTGATGTCATTAGCAGAGTGTACCTCTACGAAGTTAAAGCTTTTAGCTATCCTGATGTGGGACTAACGACTTGTTATCGTGTATGAATGCAATTGCATTTACTTTCCAAAAGTTTTCCCCCAATTTTTCATCTTTTTTCTTCAAATGAGAAAGGCTTGTCACCACGGACAATTCATGTACGCCCGCTGGAAACGAACAAAAAGATAGTGACGATAGGCCTCCAAACGAAAGATAGGCCTCCGACGGCATAGTGAGGAAGTGAAGAGCTGTTTTCCCGCGAAGATGAGATCAAACCGAGGACGATCATCGCCCAGTCGCCCTTCCAAGGAGACCACGAAGGAAACTTGCATTGCCACAGAGAAGTGAAGGACGGACGACTGGTAAAGCAAGAGGTCTTAGGAATCTCGAAGGGAATTTTACAAGCCTTGATTCACAGAAAGCGTCGACAATGGAAGATCTATGTCCGCCGGATTCCCGCGAACGCCGTCCTTGATTCAACGTGGGGACACGGTGAGAATGAGAGAATTTCGACCGATTCGACATAGAACCGTTCGTTGAATGAGGCAATGTCGGCTGAGGCAAGGAAGTCTGGGGCGTGCACGTGTCGATCGGGTATGTGAATGTCATAGGACACTTGGGACATGGCGTTGTTGGGCAGAAACATGTCCGACGGGAATGTGTGCGGCATTGAGGTGCGGGGTGTAAGGGTGTATGGTATAGAGGTATGCGAAGTTCATGTTCTCGGCGACATTTCCCCCCAAGGACGTGAGGAAGTCCTTCACCTGGAGGCGCACCAAAACACGAGCATATATTTTGAGACCAATACATATTACGAACGAGAATCTCAAATATGAAAAAGCGAAAATATTGAATGAAGGTGCCTTTCCCTTGAACCGGGAAAGGTTCGGAAGCCTTCCTTTGCGTTTGGATCCAAACCGAGAAGAACATTTCCGAGGCTGGACTTCCCACTGCCCGTCACTCCGATGAGGACGATGGTCAACCGGTCGTTGGCACTGGCCGGGGAGAACGTCATTTCCTCCTCGACAGGATAGAAGAAATACCCGAATACGATGGACGAGAGTAGGAGGAAGAAAGGCGGCCAAAAGAACCAATTGTTCTGGCGTACGTTTCTATTCCCCTCAGCTCCGGATCGATTTTCCTCTCCGTCCGCCGTCCTCACTTCTTCATTTATCGGGTCCGGAACGAAATCCACTTGCTCAGAGGTATGAAACATTTTTCATCGAAGGTGGTTGCGATGTTTCGTGTCAACGAGGTCTCAAAAGTATTTAACACCCTGCACTAATCCTTACTTTCGTGGGTTCGAATGGAAACCGTCGCGTCCGCACTTGTGTCTAATCTGTCTGTCTGAGGTAACATATTCAATATGGACTTTCTGACCGCTAATCTTATCTCGGTTTCTCCACTGGGCCGTGGGATCTGAAACCACAAGTACAGGTACCGGAATGAGAGCTTTTGGAAACACCGCTTATAAAGCATTCAATAGGGTGCCGCTCTTTGGCAGTGCACAGAGTTCGAGTGTAGTAAATTGCATCTTGTTGATGGTTCTTCTATTACACGCTTGTTGACGTCGAACAAAAATGTCAGCTTCTCTTACAAAGTCTATTTCCTTGCATTCGTTCAATCTTTCTAGGAGAGATCTCTCTATCGACCCCTTCTCCTCTGCACCCAACAAAGGGCTCATTGTTAGGGAAGGGGTTTCTCGTGCCCAATCAAGGCGAGTCATGAAGAGCTCTAATTCCAAGGACGAAAGCTTTCCTGAAGGGAGTCTCTTCATGACCAGGAAACTGGTGAAGCCCATTCCAGGAGGGGGCCTCTTTTTAGTTACGAGAACCATCGTTTCGTCTCCTGTTTGAATGAAGTGACATCTCCTTCCGGTCCTCAACCATCACGGACCTCACTTCTGTTAGATCTGGCAGACACAGGCTAAACAGCGCCCATGAAATGATGATGGGAGGTTGCAGGGCTGTAGGTGGTTGGATCCATCCGCCAAGAAGGCTGGTTCAGATCTGAGTGCTCTGGTCGCTGACACGGCATCGTACCCATGACCTGTGTCGTACGCGCGGGTGCTTTGTCGTCCAGATCCTCATGAGCTCGCGGATGCCCATGCCTTCCTTTGTCGTGACCGAATTTCATGTCGAAAATTCGCAGTAAAAAAAATTGCCTGTTTTTTGCGCTCATTCGCCACAAAATGCACTCTGCCTGTATCTTCTCCATAACGACCATCTTTCCAGTTTTCGCTGAGACGAGGCGGACCTTTTCTTTGTCATCGTCGGATAATCAAAGCGTGGACAGACACAGGGACAGAAAGGGATCAGTAGAAGTCTCTTCCCTTCATGGAAAGGAGGTCCGCGAGACCCGAGCAATAGCTGGTCGTGCCCTACCCAGAGGCGGTCGGTATTCTTGTCCCTAGCCCGAGTATCTCCACAGGTTTCCCAATCGTCCTCTATTTTCCTTTTTTTTCTCTTTGCACTGGAGATCCAAGGTTTCGTCGAATTTCTCGCAAGTCTTCTCTTCTAATCCATGAATTCCGAAGTTTTGCTTCCCGAAGCGTGATTCCGCTATTAGCATTTTCTCCGGTATTTACTCTCTCTCTCTCTCTCTGGCGGTTTGGTCTCCCAATTCGATTTACTGGCTCCGCTCGGATTCCCGATTTTTTTAATCGCTTTTCGAAAATCCAAACTGCACGATCGTCAACTTTTTCATCCAGTGTTTGCAAATTTTCGTTCGCCGAGTTCAACTGCTTTCTCGTGTCTAATCGACTTTGTTCATATGTTCTTGAATGACCTTTCGAACCCTTACGGAAATGTCCTATAGGAAATCTATAGTTATTTCTTATAGGAAACCTACAGACTTTCATATAGGTTTTTGAAACACGAAAAGCCTATAGGATCCTTTCGGATCCTATGGGATCCCTATAGGGTCTTATAGTTCTCCTGACCTATAGGTTTCAGAGAGGAAATTTTGGGTTTCGAAATCCAGGCATTACGACGGAAAAGGCGACCGGGGTTAATATTGGCGCAGCATTTCAGTGCAAATAAAAAAACCGAATAGGGGCTTTTCCATGGTAGGGACACAACCATTATTAATACCAGAACTGCGGGGGTCTGCATATTTTATGACCCCACCCCACATGCATCGCTGGATTGTACATCTACTTCCTTTGGTAGGAAGAAGTGGTATTACTTCTCTCGGCCTAAGGTAATAGAAGACAGAACCTGCGAGCACTTCTCTTTACTGAAACTCCATATGGATAAAGTCTACTTAGTTTCGTACGTGGCCTTCAAAAAGAGTAAGGGCATATTTCTTCACGGGATTCCATGATTATATCAGGAAGATGGACATGACAAATAAGGAACTGTCAAAGTTAATTGATTCCTATAATGAGGCAAGGCGAGACATTAGGGGAAGTACAAACCTCTCTGCTGAGAGATATTTCCTTGGGTAAGGAGAGGGCACTTTTGTGCCCTTTCAAAAATGTGAGAACCCAATACTTCCATCTAGTGGCCTAGAGGAGAACTTCAAACGGAACCCTATAGGCCTATAGGGTTCGGTATAAGCCTCATAGGGAACCCTATAGGTCCTATAGGTCCTTTAAGGAACCCTCTAGGTCCTATAGAGAATTCTATAGGTCCTATAGAGAATTCTATAGGTCCTATAGAGAATCCTATAGGTCCTATAGCGAACCCTACAGGTCCTATATGAAACCCTATGGGTTTTATAGGGAACCCTACGGGTCCTATACGGAACCCTTTGGGTCCTATTGGGAACATATAGGCCTTATGGGGAACCCTTTAGGTTCTATAGGGGGATCCATACGTTCTATAAGAAACTCTATAGGTTCAATAGGGGACTCTATAGGTTCTATAGGGAACTCTATAGGTCCAAAACTGAACTCTAAGGGGCATATAGGATCCTATAGGATTCCTTTAGGTTCCTATAGGATTCCTATAGGATTCCTATAGATTCCTTTAGGAATATATAGGAATCTTATAAGACATTTTCGTAAGGGGACACACGCTTTATAAATGCCAGTACTGCGGGGGTCTGCATAATTTATGGCCCGCCCTATATGTGTGGCTGGATTGCATGTCTACTTCCTTCGGTAAAAAGAAGTAGCATTCTTCTCTCGACCTAAGGAAATAGAAGACAGAACCTGCGAGCACATCTCTATACTGAAACTCAATTTGGACAGGGTCTACTCAGCTTCGTACGTGGTTTTCAAAAGGAATAAGGGCATATTTCTTCACGGGACTCCATGATTATATCTGGAAAATGGGGATGACAAATAAGGAAATGTCGAAGTTGATTGATTGCTACAATGAGGCACGGCAAGACATTTGGGGACGTACAAAACTCTCTTGTGAGAGTTGATTCCTTGGGTAAGAGGAGGGTACTTTTGTGCCCTTTGAGAAATGTGAGAACCCAATACTTCCATCTAGTGGCCTAGAGGAGAACTTCAAACGAAACCCTATAGGCCTATAGGGTTCCGTATAAGACCTACAGGGAACCCTATAGGTCCTATATGGTTCCGTAGAGGCACTATAGGGAACCCTATTGGTTTTATAGGGAACCCTACGGGTCCTATACAAAATCCTTTGTGTCTTTCATCATGATCTTCGGAATCTCGAAGGGCCATTTGTACATACCATGATTCACGGAAAAGAGAGAGCTCCATGTCCATCAATCGTTCTCCCATCGCCTCCGCATTGCTTCGATGACGCCTCAGGTTGCCACCGCTAGATGCTAACATGATGCCAGATGCATCTTGTTGGAAGTTTCCCGATCGCGTGTTGTCCTGCACGCTGAACGTATATTTGTAATGAGTCGTTTTCCTCCTTTCTCTTGCAACGCTTTGAGAATCCCTCGCCATCGTGAGCGTTTTCAAAAGGAAATTCGAAGTGCTGCTGCAAAGTTTTATTTCGAAGAAGAAACAGGGTGCATTCGGTTAAGGAACGGAAAAGGAAGAGTTTCCAAGTCGCCGCCACATCTGCAAGACCTATAATGGTAAAGAAAAGAGAATGGAGCACAACAACGGTAACAACGGTTTTTGGAACAACGGCATTTTGGACAAAGAAAAATTAGAAGTAAAAGCCAACGATGCTCACTCTTCTTTGTTAAATGAATTTGAAATGAATGACCAATAAAACCATGGACGAACTGCATCAGTGTGGTCCAAGTCGACTTTAAATTTACGGTCATGGAATGGATTTTTAACCTTGGAAGGAATTTCATTTCTTGACCCATGACTTCCTGATTTTAATAAAATAAATTTGTCAAAAATGGCGAGGTGGGCTCAAAGTAACAGGGTTGCCATCATCAATATGTGACAGAAATCGAAGACACATAAAATCTTTACGACAAATAGTTACGACTCGAGTAATTATGAAGATTTTCCGGTGAATTCTCAACAGTTTCCTCGCCGGAATGCGTGAGTCTTCATCAAAGGTGATTTATGGATTCCGGGTGGATGCTCACCGGGTAAAGTGACTCTTGCTCGTTTCAACTTCAGGTCCCTAAAAGCGAGAGAAAAGTGAGTCCCCAAGAACCATGGCTCGTGGTTTAATACGACCTGGGCCGGGGAGGAGAGGAATAGACACAGGTGGGGGTGGGAGGATCGACGCAGGCGATGGGTCCGAGAGGATCGACAGAGATGATGGGTCAGAGAGAATCGACGCAGGCGATGGGTCTGAGAGGATCGACGCAGGAGGTGGAACAGAAAGAGTTGTGGGAAGGGGTAAGACAGGGAGGAATGCGGCGGTAGGTTGGGCAAGCACCAATGGGACAGGGACTGGTGGGACAGAGGCTGAGGGGACGGAGTCGTCTAGGGAATGGATGGACGAGGCAAGGTCGGCTGAGGCAAGGAAGTCTGGGGCGGGCGCGTGTCGAACGGGTATCTGAATGTCATGAAGACTTGGAACATGGCGTTGTTGGGTAGGAACATGTCCGACGGAAATGCGTGCGGCATTGAGACGCGGGGTATAATGGAGTGGGAGGTGTGCGGAGTTCATGTTCTCGGCGACCTTCCCCTCCCAGGGTGCGAGTATGTCCGTCACCTAAAGTCACATCCAAACACAGTCATATATTTTGGGCCCAATAAGTACTACAACTAAGGTCAAAGATGGGGATAAGAAAAGATTTAATGAAGGCGAATTTTAGATGCCCAGGAAGGATGCATCACAATTTTGCATAGAACGATGAATATATGAAAACACAAATTATAACTATAGGATTCACTTGCCTTTTCCAAGGTGTCATCCGCCACACCGCTGGCGGCCTTTATGCACCCCGTCGTGGCTGCCGTAAAATGAGGGAAATTTGCCATATTTTCTCCATTCTTCGAGTTCTTCACGATTCCATTCGGAATAGAATGATGGACATCGTTGGAGTTGGTAAAGAAATCCAAAATTTTGCGCAAGGAGATCCGGTTGTTCTGGACGAAGCCGAGCCGAGTGACGATGCACCGTTCCCTCTCCTCCTCCTGCCCAGGAAGAGGGAAACTCAAGACAGTAATTTGGAACGAAAATCGACCGACACGATGAAAAAAATATTTACCCTTTGGACGATGTCAGCGAAATTCTCATCGATGAATTTGTTCATGTTCTCTGCATGGAAAGAGGGACAAAAGCGAGAAAGTCAGAAATGCTCTTTCCACGAGGACTTGTCGCCCTAATGGGAAACAGTTGCCCCTTTTAGACAACGGTTGCCTTCTTAGGACTAGAGGGAACATTTCCCATTTCCGATGAAGCAATGAGGAAATTCCGTGGAAATCGTGAGATTCGGTTTCTCTAGCCCATGTTGCCGTATCGTGCTCGCGACTCGAACGTCAGTCGAGGCTGTAATCTGACTGTATTGCTATTGGTTGAATAAATCTTGCCTCCGCACCTCACCAGGAAATTCTCTTCTCTCGTGGACATGTTTCTAGGCAGACCGATCAGAAACATTTTGGTGTTGGAGAGTAAATTTCTTCAGAAGCAAAGTTCCCAGCCGAAACCCAGCGAGTTTCGGCCTCATTCCCCATTTCATCCGCAAAGACGACCGAGCGCGCGATTTCTCCCCTCACCCAACCTCACCGGCCCTCGTGTGGTTGATCCCCTGGAGCCGCTGACGGACGCCGAGCACCAGCCGGTCCATCCTCCCTGCCTCCCCGCTCTCCGCCGATTCCCCGCACTCCTTCAACGCGCTGTGCAGCGCCGTCCAGCTCTGACGGAAGAGACCAGCCTCTTCACCTTGCGGTTCTGTGTATCATTCACAATTTCGGTCCTCGCGCTTACCTGACGAGTGTGAGGATGTCCAAACCAGCGGTGTACATCTATATACATATGCATAAAGAATATTCAGGCTGAAGATGACTCAAAACGACAAATTCAAGTTTCCAAAAATTTGAGATTCGAAGACTTGAACGTCTCTCATCAGCGATATTTACAAAAGAATCGGACTCACGGAATGAACCATCATGACCCCCGCCTAGAAAAAAAAAGCATCAGAATCATCCAACACGATTTAATCCTACATCACGAAACCGACAAAAAAGATTTGAATATTCGACTGACCCCGATCGGCGTTGCCCTCGACGATGACGAAGACGAGAACCAAGGCTGCACCGACCGTCGGCCTCATGATCGGGAACGAGACGAGATGGGAATGACGCGATCGGGCCTCGAGCGAGCGCAATTTATATACTTTTCACTGGTAAGTCTGGAGGCGTAATTCATGCCCTTTTGCATTTTCAACCGATGTAGAATTATTTTGAATCGCGTCGATAGCAGATTGTTGTTGGAGGGAATCCCATCGCACGGGCTCGATGGGCGGAACGATCTTCAGCGGTTCCGCAATATTTTGTCATGCAGAGAAAAGGAATGAACGCGCGAGGGAATGCGTAATGATGGAAACAGGATGTTTCCGTGCGGACATGAAGGAACCGTGTGCATTCGACTGCGGCGTCGCATTCCACCTGCTGGATGCACCAGAACGGGGAACATTCCTCGCGGAGTCAAGGCCGCTGAAGGCTTCAGACGGGAAGTTGGGTGAGAAGCGTGTGGGATCGAAGGAAAGTCAGAGGCGACGACGAATAAAGAATTGTATCGGCTCGACTCCTGAACCCAATTTTTGCGTTTCTTCCACGTTTGTCGTCCCGGTTTGCGTTGAGTTTTCTAGGCATCACCAGACCCTGAATCCGTCAAATATATACATATATATATATATATTTTTTTTTTTTTTTTCTAATTCGCCTTCACGAAAGAAATTGCCAATTGGCATGAGAGCTGACATCCCTGCCCGACTTCGTCGTAAGCCAGGAATCTCGATCGTTATGCGCGTGCCAAAAACTCAACGAACTACAGAGAAATGTAGAATCACGTGATTTTGTCAAAGAACGAGAAGACCTTCATGGATATCGACTAGAATGAGCAAATTCTGACGCCGCCATCTTGAAAGTATGCAGATTTCGCACTTTCTCCGGCCAAGCAGAAACATTCCACTCTGTTGATTCTCCTTTCGCAGAAGATTAATCACGGTCAAAATTTTTTTCCCCGGATTCCCAGAAATAATACGGGAGGCCGCTGAATTCCGGGGTTCCGGAATCTCGCGATTCCGGAACAGGGATGCGTGATGATCCGCGAAAGGTACTCAGGACTACTGAGTACTGAGGATCATGAGTACTGAGTATGGGCGTTTTTTTTCATTTCTACAATGTGTTCCGGATGATTGGTGTTTTTCAGTACTTACATATTATTCCCGGAGGCACCAAAAGTGCAACCCTCGTTGAACCGTGTCCCATGCGCTCACGCCGCTTCAGGGCTTTTTCCCTGAACGACTCAATGCACTTTTCGTACTCTCATTATTAAATCAGTACTTGAAAACCAAGAAATCATTCTGCCAGCGTGAACTAGGTTCAGCCAATCATGTTCAGCCAATTACGTTCAGCCAATTGTGTTCATCCAATTATGTCCAACTGTATCATATTTATTGAAATGAGCCATGTACAGCTTTTCCTTGTCGGTCGGTCTCTCAAACCGGTCCTCAAGGTCAAGAGTTCACGATGCCCTCAAGGTCAAGATGCCCTCAAGGTCAAAATGCCCACAAGGTCAAGACGTAGGAAGTTCATCGAAGCGCGAAAGAGCAGAGTGCATCCCGTGAAGATTAATTCGATCCATATCCAATCCGATGACCATTTTTGGGATTCGGAAAGTCCTGCAAAAACCGAAAAGGAAAAGTTTAAAGGGCAGATTCCCATCGGACGTTGGGAAAAACTGAAGTCGCGGTCGATTATGGGCCTGATTATGGATTATGGATTATGCTTCGCGACCGAAATCACTTAATGTCGATTTCGGACCAATTGCGAGGAATGAAAAAAGAAATGGTGAACCCTTCCAAAACAGCTGGACAAGTTGCACTTTTTCATTTATTTTACATTTTACTTTGCGCATGAGACAATTTAATCGATAGTCTTTTTCTTTTTCCTGCTCATTCATTTTATTGATTCAGGAGTCTCAGCAAGACTAAGCTGAATTGTCCGTCCCTCCAGCTAGTTGGTCCGCCCTTCCCTCTCGTTGGTCCGCCCTTCCCTCTCGTTGGTCCGCCCTTCCCTCTAGTTGGTCCGCCCTTCCCTCCAGCAGCTACTTCACGGAAAAGCGATCTATTCCCAGAGAATCGAGGCTGCCCGTCGAGTTAAAAAAAAAAACTTCACATTTTAAATGATGAGCAGATAAGGCGATTTCTATCGCTTATTCCCTTTTTCGCTGAATATTTTGCTAACTAATGAGACTATGAAATGTTACACAATCCCAATTCGCTGAGAGACAAAATCAACGGAATCCGGACTCACTCCCGTCACTCGGTCGGACCGCGATCGAGCGGGCGGACTCCATGGGGTCCGTGATGTCCTTGAAGTCCTAGAAGACCTTGAAGTCCTTGAAGGCCGGAGGAGAACGGCCTGGGTCCCTGGAAGGAGCAGAGGAGGTTCCCGCCGCTCGCGACCGCCCCCGCGACCTTCGCGTCCCAGCACGCGAACGCGGCTTTCACCTAAGTGCACGTAAGAGAAAAAAAAAATCCGCCGAGAGAGAAAAAATCACAATATGCGTTCATAAATATGCAAAATAAAAATCGGGATGCACTTGCTTTCGCCTGGATGTCACCCGTGACGGCGTTGGCACCGTTCACGCAGTCCGTCATGGCGGTCGTGAACTGAGGGAAGTAGATCGCATTCTCATTTTCATTCATCCGAGCCAAATGGAATTTTAATGAAAATTTAAAAAATGGCGTGGACTGACGCTGTTGGAGGTGGTGAAGAAATCCAGGATTTTCTGCAGGGAGATGGTGCTGTTGTCGGCGAAGCCGAGCCGGGTTGCGATGCACAGGCGGTTCTCGTCCGCCTGCGGGAAAGGAAAAGATGCCACGTCGCTTTTTGCAGGGATGCAACGAGGAAATCGGCGGGTTGGGAAAAAAAAGGAATTGGCGAAAATTTGGGAATGAAGAGATGAAAAAAATTCTGGCATGGAGCGAGAGACGAGGAAAGATTGGGAACTGAACTCGGTCGGAATCCGAATGGTCCCGAGTTGGAAGGAAGGCAGTTACCTTTCGCAGAACGTCGGGAAAACTGGCCGCGATGCACTTTAACAGATCCCCTGCAAATACAAATAGAAACGGACTAGAAAAAGATTACAAGTTAAAAAGAGTCATTCTAAGAGCAAAATATTCGTGACGCTTCCTTCAATTACGCCTGAAAATGGACTCATGTGGTGGGTGGAATGAAGGTGGAAGGGGGCGAAAGGGGGCGGAAGGGTGGCGGAAAGGGGGCGGAAGGGTGGCGGAAAGGGGGCGGAAAGGGGGTGGAAAGGGGGCGAAAGGCGGGTGGAATGAAGGTGGAAGGGGGCGGAAGGGGGGCGGAAAGAGGGCGGAAGGGAGGTGGAAGGGAGGTAGAAAGGGGCGGAAAGGGGGCGGAAAAGAGGTGGAATAGAGGCGAATGGGAGGTAGAAGGGGGATACTCGACGTATAGCCAATAATTGCTCTTCGCAGAGCATAAATTATGCCCATGAAATTTCGGAAAATGACGAAAAGATACAGAATGTGGTATTTGCTCCGCTCATATAAAAAAAAGATTTCACCTGAAAACCCACAAACTTCTCAACGAAAACATCCAAGAGGAAAAACTTTTTTCTGCAGAACCAGGCTTTCGTGCCACGGTCAAAAACAAGTGGAATGAAATAAATAGTTCCAAATTGCCGGTGGATTCGATTGCACATTGTTTGCTTTTTCCGTTCATAATTGGAGCTTGGCCTGATGAAAAAAAAAATTCGAAAGTTCGGAACCATGTTCAGATGTGGTTTTTTTTTCCAAAGCTTTTTTTTCCCTTGCAGAAAGAAATTGACGCACGGAAATGTGCAGAAATGAATTTTGAGTTTACCGGCGCGCGTGTCGTTGAAGAAAGAGAGCTGCTGAAGCATGCCGCAGATGTAATGCCCGAGGTCCAGGGCCATCCCCGGGGTGCCGCTGGCCGTCCACGGGGCGCCGCTGGCCGTCCCCGGCAGGCCGCATCCCTCCGCAGCCGCCCGGATTGCGTCCCAGTTCTGACGGAGGAGACAGAGTTCGATCGTTTTGCCGATTTTTCTCGCGCACTTTTATGAAATTCGGCACACTCGCAAGGACTTATGAGAATGGGAATTACGGAAAATTTCAGCCCAATCGGTTCGTCGGTTCGGGAGAAACTACGATCTGAATGATATAATCTGTCGAATGACAAAATGGACAGCACTGCCTGCAAGCCGCGAATAAAGCAGAAAGCGATTTTCACATGCATTCTAAAAGGGTCATTGGATAGCTTGGAACAGGTTGGTTTCCGTGTCCATGCTGATTTTAGGAAATATTCGCTCTAGTTGCTCAGGGCTCAAGTCAGTTTCAGGGTCATGTGTTGACCAACCGCATGAACGTGGACTTTTGAAGACAGGGATTCATCCCGAATTCCTGCGGGCGTGGGATTAACAGAGAGGTCAGAATATTTCGGCAATCGCACACGCTCATCCATAAAACTATATTTAAAATCCGCCAAAAAAAAAGCCAGAAAAAAATCGTAGCCTTGGGAAAGGCTCTCCTATGCACTCAGTCGACTGCCCCCTGCACTGACAGTCTGGATTCCTTCTGCTGCCTTCGGGCCTTGGCTTCGAGGCACATTGGTCATTTCACGCGCAGGAATATTTATATATGCAGATGGTGAGCGCATTTGCATGGAGGGGAAGCTGTTTCTTCCGAATTAACGCGTTCAGAATATATTTTACTGATATATGGTTTTATTGCTCTTATTTTTAAATAATATTCTACGAATCAAAGAGAATGAATGAAACACCTGATCCAGAAACAAACTTGTTTCTTTCTGGTACATTGATGATCGGATATTTAAAAATAATAAAATAAAATTTAATAATAAATAAAAACGAATTTTTTTTAAGCTGAAATTTGGCACAGAAGTGCTTCTCTCGATACTGATATGATTAACGTTTTCAGTTTTTAAATTTATTTCCGGGACTGACTTCTCTTTAGGGGATTTTCGGCCAAAGACCTTTTCGATGCAAGAAGCTTAAAAAATAGATAACTGATAACTGATAACTTCAAAGGAGAAATATATAACTGATAACTGATAATTAAAAAAAGTGGATAACTGATATTTAGTAATCCTGCTGTTCTTGGGAATTATTGCATATTTTATTTATTTATCTGAATTTTGACAAGAATGTCCATCAAATTGAACCGGATGCTCACCTGCGGCTTGGGAACGACTCCGAAGCAGCTCAACCCACCTGACAATGCACGGAAGGAAAATAATTCACCAGATAGTTAAGAATTGGTGAATTCGTCACAACGGTGCGACTTGTGAAATATTGATGTTAGTGAAATTCAGGATTGACATGACTCACGAAAGAAGCCTCCAATTCCCTGGCCTAAAAAAAAAACACCAAATATATCATTTAAAAAAAAAAAACATACATTCCATCAATGGCTTTACTCTTTTTTTTCATAGACTATGAAAATCATACTTCCCATCACAGGGATTTTTTATTAATGCTTGGTGGACCTGCTTCCATGCATACTGATTGATATTATTGGAAACCCGACATTGGTGATTAATTGCCCCTGGTTCCGCAAAATATACAAAATATGTCCGTTTTCCTCCTTGATTCATTAAATAGAAAAATAAGTGCAGGATGATATAACAAGTTTCGAAGGCGGAAATTGTCCAAGAAAAGTTTACATTATATCTATGTATCATTGTATCATTGTATCACTAAGAATGTTGAACCTGACCTCCGTCGGCGTTCGCCTCTGCGAGGACGAGGACGAGGACGCAGATGACTCCCAGTGAGGACTTCATGGTCGGGGACGAGAGGACGTGGGGACTGGCTCGACTGGGTGGAATTTATAGCCATTTCATGGATGTGCGGCGGAATGGGAGTCAAGGGCGCGGTTTCTCGCCTGATTGAGGGTGATGCAAGCAGTCAAGGTCACGAATGTCTCTAAGAGAGGAATTTTCTCGGTTTCCTGCATTTTCCTCCTCGATCGTTCATCGCGTTAGGCAGGAACTCCTTCGCTTCAATCGGTCGAGACAAATTAGGAATTCCTCGGGCTTGGGAATTTCCATGGACTTTCGTGGGAAAGGAGGGACGTAGAGAATCGGAGGATTTGCTTTTCCTTCCTGAATGGCGATGAATCTCAATGTACAAGACTCAATTCTTAGTGGAATAACCATGCTTTACAGCGAATGAAGGAGGATGTCGATACATTCTTCTGTCTATTAATCTATCTATCTATCTATCCATCCATCTATTTATCTATCTACATCGTAATAGCCGATATTGGTCTATGGTTCTTTTCATGCCAAAAATGTAAAAAAAAAAAGTCACTGAAAGACAAAGACGTGATGGTGCCAGGTAGCAGCACTAGTCGCTGCAGAAAGGCTGGGGAGTGTCCACGATCGTCGGAGGCGCCGGGAGAGGACTGGAGGTCTTCTTCCCCCCTTTCCAGCTCCTCCTGGGACGCAAGTGGACCGGTTCCTTCTTCGGAGGTCAGTCTCGCCGAAACATCCTCATGGACTAGCACTTTGATCGAGTTTCTTCCATATTTATTTTTATTATTGCCTTGTAATCGATCAGACTTGCACTGAATGTCTCTCCAAACATCAATAATAATACTCATATCTCCCTGTGACCGATCATTCGTTGGTCATCGATATTCATTCAGTACTTGGAAGGTTCCTTGCATTTCTTTTGTCATTTTTAATTCTTGCAAAGCACGCAAGTTCCTCATACTAATGCAAGCAAGATATACATCAAGATCATTCCAGAAATATTTCAATTAAGGCGTTTTCCTTTCTCTCACTCAAAACCCACTTTCGACGAATGCTTTTAAATGCAGTTTGCAGCGGAGATGACCCACCAGGACTGGTAGAAGAATACCTGAAAGGGGAACTAAATGGCGGACGAATTCGTGACGATAGAACTCCAGTTGGACGACGTGAACGGGGCCTGCGATTCTCTCATCCTCTCCTGCGATCTTTTTCTCATTCTTTCCTTTCATTTTCCCTCTTATTCCATTGATTTTTGGCTCTGTGGCATTCTGAGGGAAGCAGAAATTGTATTTGTAGAAATTCTAAGAATTTTTTTTATGTATCCGATTTATTTTCGGTTATTTCTGCGCTTGCATATATTTCCCTCTAACTTTTTAATGGTTGCCGTAGACAACCATTAATAGAGAGAGCATTGCAATCAGTGCTGTTGAGAAGCAATATTTATTGTCCGTTCATGAAATATTCGATTATCGGATTTGTAGAGTGGCAATGTGTAGCAATAGAGCAATCTTGTTATGTCACGAGCGCACCGTTCAGACTCTGTGAAGTTAAAAGATTGCAGCTATTCTGATATATTTGTTAACATTTTATCATCTTGAGGTTGACTCGGAAACCCATGCGAAAACGTGGAGGTGGTAAACAACAGACAATAAATTAGTCAAGAAGTAACTGGAGTAATCACGATGATGGAAATATTACTTCTATCAGAGATGCTCGGATTAATTTTGACGCATTGATGAGACCATCAAGGAAAATTCTCTCACTGTTAACATGTTTTTTTTTCAGAACTCTTAGAACAATAGGAAGACATTCGCCGAATATCGGCAAAGGCAATGTCTATATCCGTAATATACGCGGTTGAAACTTTAAATTTGGAAGAGCTGCGTGCGGAGAGAGTCGCCGAGAGGTCGCCCGCTTTCCGAGTGCCTCGCCGTTTTGAGAGCTTCGCGGGAAGAGAGTCCTTCCATGTCCGTCAGATGCTTCTGTCTCCGTCCAATCTAACTGGCTGGTTTTTAAATTAATTTTTTTTTTAGGAATATTTTTGGCGTGAGGCATCAGATTGCCACGATTGGATCCATCATGTGGCGATCATTAAAAGCATCAGGTTGCCACGTGGCAACCTGATGCTTGATGCATCCCCTCGGAAGTTTTCCGATTGCGAAGCATGTCCTCCACACAGCAGCATTTCCATTTGTCTTTTAGTCATAAGTATTTTTCCTCCCTTCCCTTGCAACGCAGTGAGACCGTCCCCACTGTCAGCACATTCAAAAATAAAAACACGTGCAGCTGCAAAATTGTATTCTAGAAAGTACAGGGTGCATTTGGTTAAGGAAAAGAGAGAGGAAGAGTTTCCAAGTCACCGACACATCTGCTAGATCTGTAAATAAACAAAATGGGAAAAGCCACATATTTTTAGAAAAACAATATTTCGAAATGTAAAAAGTAGAGGCAAATGTCGACAATTTTCACTTTTGTATGGCTGTTGAATGAATTTAAAGCAATAGGCACTAAATGCATGTGCACGATGCTGATGCTCCATTGCATTAGAACTTACGGACGGACTTAATGCATAGGCGTGATCCACGTTGAACATAAATTACGGTAATGGAATTAATTTTTTTTATCATGGAAGGAATTCAGTTCATCAACTCAAGAAATTTGGAAATTCTGAAAAAGGTTCAAAACCGCACGCTTTTCATCACCTGTATATTACAAAAATCGAAGACATATTAGTCCCAACTTCAAGGAGTTACCACACCAGTGATAAGTATATTAGCTGAGATCTCGACAGTTAGCTTGCCGGACAGGTGAGTCTTTATGAGGATCCATAGTAAAATTCTCACCGGGTTCAGTGACTCTTGCTCGTTTCAACCTCAAGCCGCTACAGCAAAGAGATCGACGGGTCCTCTGGAATGGTTCCAGGTTTAGTGAGAAGTTGGGTAGGGAGGAGAGGGAGAGCAAGGTTTGGGTCGTTGAGGGATGGGGTTGGGAGGGGAAGGATAGACACGGGTAGGGGAGGGGGGATTGAAGCAGAAGATGGGTCTGGGAGAATTGAAGCTGGAGATTGGACTGGAGGGATTGATGCTGTGGGTGGGGCAGGCTCAGATGGGACTGCGAACGGTGGGACAGTGACTGAGGGGACAGAGTCGGCTGGAGAATGGGTGAATGAGGCAAGGTCGGCTGGAGCGCGGAAGTGTGGAGTAGACACGTGCCGAACGGGTATATGAGTGTCATGGAGACTTGGGACATGGCGTTGTTGGACAGGAACATGTCCGACAGGAATGTGTGCGGCATTGAGGTGCGGGGTATAATGGTGTGGGAGGTGTGCGGAGTTCAGGTTCTCGGCGACCTTCCCTTCCCAGGACGTGAGGACGTCCGTCACCTGCAGTCACATCCAAGCACAAACATATATTTTGGGTCCAATAAATATTACGAACGGGAATCTCAAATATACGTAAACGAAAATATTGAATGAAGAGGAATTTTAGACGCACAGGAAGGGTGCATCACAAACACTGCATAGAACGATGAAAATATGAAAAAGCGAGTTATCAGTAGGACTCGCTTGCCTTTTCCAAGGTATCATCCGCCACGCCACTGGCGGCCTTTATGTACCCTGTCGTGGCTGCCGTGAAGTGAGGGAAGTGGGCCATATTTTCCCCATCCTTCGAGTTCTTCACGATTCCTTTCGGAATGGGATGAACATCATGGGAGGTGGTGAAGAAATTCAAGATGATGCTCAAGGAGATCCGGTTGTTCTGGACGAAGCCAAGCCTGGTAACGATGCACTGTTCCCTCTCCTCCTCCTGTCGGGGAAGAGGGAAAGCATAGGACACTGATTGGGAACGAAAAACGATCGACATGATGGAAAAAAGGACTTACCCTTTTGAGAAGGTCCGCAAAATTCTCATCGATGAACTTGCTCATTTTCTCTGCATGAAAAGAGGGACAAAAGCGTCCTAACAAAACGTCCACATTTATCCACCAGGTCAAGCAACCAAATGGATAGGGGGTGGATTTGGAAAAAGGTTGAAATCCCATCTGGAAATCCACTTATCCATTCGCTAACTTGCATTCCGAGCCAGGTGGATATTCCCTCCCGGATGGATTTTCCCGCGGGTAGACGTCGCTCCAACAGGTGGAAATACCGCAGAGGGGGGGGGGGGCATCCACCTGGTTCCAAATCCACATGTGTGGTGGACGTTTTTGAAGGGGGAGGCAACAAAATATTATTTCCACGAGTAGTTTCTGCCCCTAGTGGGCAACATTTGTCCCCTAGCAGACAAAAGTTGCCTTGGGAATGGAGGGAATATATCTAATTTGCGATGAAAGGCTGTTTTATATTCCACCAAAATCGACACAGTTCGAATATATATTTAAGCAGCCAATATTGGCCAGATGTGCTCTCAACCCAAATGCCAGTCGAAGCATTAACAGGATTTCATTGCTGTTGGTTGCTCCCTGCTCCCCATCAGGGAGAAATAAACTTATGGCCTGAAATTGTCAGTTTCGGTCGAGATATTTTCCCTGAACGGCTCCCCGGGTGATTTCCTTTCTTTCAAGGACACGTTTCTCGCTGGACGGATCAGTCTCATGACGGTGGGGGAGGAGGGCGGTAAGGGTAATGAATTTCTTCAGAAGCAAAGTTCCCAGCCCAAACCCAACTAGCATTCCCCCAATTTCATTCGGAAAGACGACCGAACGCGCGATTTCTCCCCTCACCCAACCTCACCGGCCCTCGTGTCGTTGATCCCCTGGAGCCACTGACGGACGCCGAGCACCAGCCGGTCCATCCTCCCTGCCTCCCCGCTCTCCACCGATTCCCCGCACTCCTTCAACGCGCTGTGCAGCGCCGTCCAGCTCTGACGGAAGAGACCAGCCTCTTCACCTTGCTATGCTATGTAACGTGGATATTTTTTTCTCCTATGCTCACCTGACGTCTGTGAGCAAGTCCAAGCCAAGGGAGCCCATCTAGATGCACATGCACAAAGAAAATTCTCGTTCGGGATGATTCAAAACGGCAAATTTAAATGCAAGTTAAAAAAGCTCTAAGATTTTCCGCTTTCCATCAGCTGATTAGGAAAGAATCGGACTCACGCAGTGAACCATCATGACCCTCGGCTAAAAAAACGTATTCAGAATTATTCAGCAAGATTTAAACTTCTAGCATGAAACTGACAAAGAATTTCTCGATATTCGACTGACCACGATCGGCGTTGACCTCGGCGAGGACGAAGACGAGAACCAAGGCTGCACCGACCGTCGGCTTCATGATCGGGAACGAGACGAGATGAAAATGGCAAGTTCAAGCCTCGACCGGCGGCAATTTATGCGCTTTTACGGGCTACCTCGATGGTGCGAGGACGTCGACGAAATCGTGACCTTTTTGCATTTTCCCGCAATGCAGAATTATGTTGAATCGTGTTGAAATATGCAGACAATCGATTGTTCCTCGTGGGAGTCCGATGGGGCGGAACGACCTTCAACGGTGCAGCATTGTGCGACGCAGAGAAAAGGAATGAAACAATTCGTAATGATGGAAACAGGAAGTTTTAGTACTGATATAGAGGAACTTTTCCGCGTGCAAACAACTCTGGCCTTGCTTTCCCCCTACCTATCTGAAAGCACTTGCCTAATGATGAGGGGGCATTGGGGATGAGGGGCATTGGGGACGAGGGGGCATTGGGGACGAGGGGGCATTGGGGACGAGGGGGCATTGGGGACGAACCCAAAATCCCCTCATCTGGAAAGTGAAGGTCATGGAGTAAGGTCATGGGGTAAGAATCGCGTGGGATCGCATCCGAGGAAACGAAAGTGAGAGCTAGAGTTGAAAACAGAAATGATTCCTCTTATTACTCTAAAATCTTTCCCGCGGTTTGGGTCATGGTTTCTGCTGAGGTTTAATGACCAGAAGGTCACATGAGACATGACGTGGCAGAACTCGAACACGAAGATCACGTCTCGGGGGAAATTGCTTCGGTGCAAGAAACGGTGAATCCGAGGGGAAAAACCACCGCGAGAAAGTCGAAATTGGCATGAAATTTAGCAGTGCATCCCTGGCAGCGATCTTCACTCCGACCGTTCGCACAATCTCGTGCTTGTCTCTTGCAGAACGAAACGCAGGGAAGAGATCGTTCGCGATATGTTTTTGTTTTACGAACGTGAAGAATTTTAACAATATCGGCCGTTAGAGATTGGGAGAATTTGCAAATCGAACGTTTCCATCACGAAACCATGCAAATTTCAAATCGTTCCAGACCAAGCAGAACTTTTTCACTTTGCTGCTTCTTTTTCCCTCGCATGAATTCCGAATTTGTTGTCAGGAGCATTCCCGGAGACGCAACTGCTGCAGTCACGATATCGCAGCCCACGAACCAGCATCGCTGCAGTCACTCAGCGCGCTGAGATCTGCTGGTGGGGTGCCAACAGTCTGCTGGTGGGGTGCCAACAGTCTGCTTGTGGGGTGCCAACAGTCTGCTGGTGGGGTGCCAACAGTCTGCTGGTGGGATGCCTAAAGTCTGCTTCTGAATGCTTCATGTAATGGGTACGAAGGTTTTTCCACCGCGAATAAGGTCCGTCCTTCCGACGTCTTCGATCCCACACGATACTTACTCTATTTTGCGTATAAAGTCTTCGCTTTCTAAGAAAAAATAAGTATCATCATGGAATGAGCGAGAGAAAATATCCCACAGAAGCCCACAGAAACTCTTCAATGGAAAGGTCTATGCTTACTCCTTCAGATCCGTGAAGCAATCTCGCAGTCAGGCGCGCCTTTCATTCTTAATCAGATTTACGTCTTAAATTATCATGGACAGATGCGGGACTCATGAGGCTCAAAAAGCACAGTCGCCCAGAAGCAAGTTTATTTTTCATTTTTTTTTTCAGAAAGCAATGAAACGTTTAAAATTTATTTTACGTTGTGCGTTGCGGATTATGAGTACTTCCCAGTACTTTTTGGCCGTATCGTTCCTTAAGTCACCGAAAGGTCTTCGTCCCAAAGTCCATGTCGATGTTGAATGTTTGCCCTTAGGTTCATCCTTTTACGATTTAAGGTCCTTTTTGTACTTTCGTTACTAGATCGGTACCTGAAAGCCAAGAAATATATATTTCTAGCGCGTATTAAGTCCAGCGGTATCATATTTACTGAAATGAGCCCCGTATAGTTTTTCATGCTAGTCGGTCGGCCTCTTAGTCTATTTCCTCTGTCACCAAGGAGTCGGTTCGTGTCGTCGCCGGCCTCAAGGTCAAAATGCTCTCACTCCTTGAATGGAAATTGCTTCGGGATGGTGCATTCCGTGAAGACCAGGGAACACGAGATGCATCGATTCGTTTGTCGCTTTTTGCATCGGGGTCGCCTTTGGCATCGAGAACTTCTGGGGGGGGGAAAGAAAGGAATTGTGAGAACGGCTTCGTAAGTTTGAGAAATTGAAATTAAAGTAAATTTGGAGCATTGACTTCGCTAGCTGGGTGCCTCGCCTTCGAAATCCATCATAGTTTTCGGACAAATTTCGAGGAATCACACACAAAACAAGTATACGATTTCATGAAGTGACAGGAACGTCCATCGCTCCCTCTCATAGGTCCGTCACACCCTCTCATAGGTCCGTCACACCCTCTCGTAGGTCCGTCACACCCTCTCATAGGTTCGTCATTCTTTCATATGGGTCCGTCACCCCAATAATTGCTTCCTCGATGGTGAGTTACATGGAGCGTCGACTGCACTAAACGATCCGAAGTCATCCATCACCCTCCACACTTTATTCCTACGAGCAACAAAATCAATTGAACACCCATTAACCCCTTAAGAAACGTTTTCGGTCGAACGGACCCCAACTGGACATTTGCGTCATGTTTCTTTTTGCGAATTTGGAATGTCCGATATTCCATGAATATTTATTATTATCAAAACATGTGACGGTAATTGCGAAAAGTACTTTGAAGCGATTCCTTGGAAACGAAGAAATGAAAGAAAGAGTTCAACGCATCACCATCTGCCCTTACGAAAATGTATTATAGGATTCCTATAGGAATCCTATAGGAATCCTATAGAAACCTAAAGGAATCCTATAGGATCCTATATGCCCGATAGAGTTCAGTTTGGGACCTGTAGAGTCCCCTTTAGAACCTATAGAGTCCCCTATTGAACCTATTGAGTTCCCTATAGAACGTATAGATCTCCCTATAGAACCTATAGGGTTCCTCATAGAACTAATAGGGTTCCCCATAAAGCCTATAGGGTTCCTTATAGGACCTATAGGATTCTCCATAGGACTCATAGGATTCTCTATAGGACCTATAGGATACCCTATAGGACCTATAGGGTTCCCTATAGGGCTTATACGGTTGAAGAAAGGTAAAACCCTTGAAAATTCGTTTTCTCCTCATTGCATCTGTACAGTCGACACTCGATATGAAAGAACTCGATGGAACGGGCTAGAAAAATTTATTGTACTGAAAATTCGTTACAGGAATTTCCATAATTTCCCTGAAATAATGAGATCTGTAAAACGAATGTCAATATCACTTTAAGACCATTTCGAGTAATAAAAAAAAAGCAAGTCATGGTCCATTCATGAAATGAGTTTGAAGATCTAAGCGCATGCAATATCACAAAAATCAAGCTCTCAAGAGTTATGCATGTACCTAAATGGCACACGTAATTTAGATACCCACTGTAAAAGTTTCAGTCAACGTACGGCCTCTGACTGGAAAATAGCCTATGTACTTCGTAATATGGAACGGTTTCGTTCCTTCGGACGAAATAAAAAACACCTTAAAACCGAACATTTCACAAAACAGAACTCCGTTATAGAGAAATTTTTCAATATGCATGTGAATGGGCAATCGGTGAGGACTGGAAAGAAATTCGTGGAATGAAAAATTCTTAATATCTAGGGTCGACTGTATTTCTGTATATGGAGCATATGATGGGAGATTGACTGATTCCATGGCAAATTTTAGCCGAACATTACCAGGAATTAGTGTTGCTGTCACGTGGAACCATTCATTGGACCTTCCAAGATATAATACTTATTAGGGGGATACATGGTTCGTTCTTACGACCTGATAGAATTCGCAGACACCCACACGCACGAGGTATTTAGGCTTTCACGTCTTCCATTCGTTTCATTTGAACAGAGAACGATCGGCGGATGTACGAATCGCAAGGGAAGGCTAACGAGGGGGAATCCCATCTTGGCATTCGAGATCATTAAATGAATCGATACCCTAGGGGTCTCAAACTCAAGGCCAGCGGGCCACATTTACATGGGAACACCCTATATGGCGCTGCGAGTTTGAGATCACGCCTGCCGTAGGGCGTGGTAAGTTTTTCCCCAATTCCAAGAACGTAGAACATGCGGGAACCAATTCAAGTTTCCGTATCCCTCAACTCACCTTTGGAGCCCAAGAGGGTCTAGGCCTAAAACTGCGCCCTGACTATGGAACATAGCTTATCCAACCTCTCTCTATCCCCCCCCCCGTTCAGTGATGATGCTGGTCTGTTTCTTAACGACCTAATTTAGAAATATGTAATTACTCACAGCTCACTTTCAAAGTGCACTCCTCGGAAACATGGAACGTGGATATGAAGCCGAGAGGAAGGGTTGAGAGAGACTATCTGCGTATGCGTGACTAGATCGGGACCCAGCGCCTGCGGGCGAACGCGCTCTGAATCCTTTGTCTCGAGGACAATGGCGTAGCGAGGGGAGGAAGGATTTCAGCCCGCCCAACTCTGATCGAAATGCGTCAGACTCCCCCCCCCTCCCCCCCCTTCCCTAAGGGGGGAAGTACGTCCCCCCACCGTTCCGCTTAGCATCCCCATTGGCGAAATCCTAGCTACGCCACTGGTGATACCGAGCGGTGATCCTCACGCGATGATTCAGACAGCCATCCATTTCGGAGAGGAGCCAAGCTCGAGTAGTTGAACCGCCTGTATGCGGACTGGAGCGGATCAGGTTTCCCTGATGGACAGGTAGCGACGATCGCCGAAAATATATCAAAAGTGAAGGTTACCTTCAGAGAGGAAATTTTAACCTCTTGATGGCTTTTCCCACGGTCTATGATTCCCCCGATGCACACAGTACCTCTGCAACCCTCCTCCGTATGACCTTGGATTTTCATATCATGCGGAAGGAAAGAGGGGGGGGGGGGAGGCTAGATTGAAGGGCGTGCCTGCCCCTGAGAAGTAGGCACGACCTTGAACGAACTTCTGCTGATGTAAAGGGTGAGAATACGAGGGTTCCAGGTTCGAAGACCCATGACTTCACATGAGATTTATTCCAAATGAACTTATCTATTGG